GAGGCTCTTTATTGGACACGACAACAACAACGGCATTCCAGAGTAAAATAAATTATCAGAGATAGATACATATTTTTCAAATGAATTAAAATAAATATAATCGATACTGAGTGAAAGTTGAATTTAAAATATTAGAAATTTATTATCTTTGGAAACAAACCGTATCTAAAATATCAATTTTCTTTTTGCTACACGTTTTAATTTGCATTTACCTATTTTACATATCTCTGATTGCATTTGAAAATCGTTAACCAATTCTTCATACTTTTGGCGAAGTGGTGTTTTATTAATTTGTTATTTGATATTATTAGGGTTCTTTCCTGGTATTCAAAAAGGAAAAATACGTGTCGATCAGTTATATTTTTCAATTTATCAAACAATTTGGCCGCTGAATCTCTGATTCTGGTAGAGCGCCATCTGGCGAATAAAATTGTAACTAAAATCAATTTCGAATTTTTCATTATTTGCCATAAAAAATCCCATTGCATCCTGAACACAATGGTGTTTACCGCATTGCTCTAGCGCAAATATTCGCGGAGTTATTAATTTTTAAAATAGTGCGGGACTTTTGGATCACCCTGTATATATATTCTGAATATAGAGCAATTCATAATATAAATATTTAAAAATAAGGCTTATTTTGGATTTAATAAGTTTTATTTATCCAATATTTCGGTTAGACCAATCGTCCATCCTTTACGAGGTATATATATATTATATAATCTAAAATGCAAATATTTTATTTTTATGAAACATGTATTTTATTTTCATCATTGGCTATTCTTTTGTTTTAGACCATAGATTTAGAAGATACCACTTTTAATATTGTTGTAAATATGTATAGTTAACCTGCCTAATTTTTAAATCACGAATATAGGAATTATTTTATAAGTTCTATATTACTGTAAAAATATTTAATGTGCAATTCTTTACAAGTAAATGAAAATAAAAACTACTTGATAAGTAAATAACCATATTTCCTTTTTCACGACTGCACCTCCAATTATCTATCTTTTTAACATCAAAATATTATTATGTCTGTCTGTCTGTTTCGCGATAAACTCAAAAACTACTGAACCAATTGGTACCAAATTTTGCATATCGCTTTTTATTAACCTGAGGAAAATTTTCGGCTGCATTTTGATTAGTATTTTTGGCTATTTCTTTTTATCATTTGAAGAACTTTTTTTTACGCGGACTAATCCGGAATGGAATGAATGCCTAAATATGTCCATTTTTTTAAAGCATCGGTGGTTCAGTGGTAGAATGCTCGCCTGCCACGCGGGCGGCCCGGGTTCGATTCCCGGCCGATGCATTTTTTTTTTTTACAATTTTTAAAACTCATTTATATTATATATAATATAAATATATATTATTATATCAACTATATTAATTAAATCAAATACCTAAACACTAATATAATACAATTTTTGCCATCACACACACTTTTTCCTGTAGTTTATGTGTTACTTCTGTATTGCTATTCTATGGCACTTCTAATATTTATTATTGATATACTTTTAGTATGAAGGAAATTGCACCCAAGGGATTTCTCGGGCGAAGCCGGGTCATTCGCCTAGTGTTATATATATAGAGCAATCCATATATGATAATTAAATGTTATATAAAACAACACTTCTCATGCACGCATCACGCGGATAATAAGCTTACAAGGAGTTTGAATTTTTCCGAGAAGAAGATAGGCGAACATCCTCGTCGAAATATTGAAATTTAATAAATATTTTGATCCAAAATATGTCCTTATTCTAATATATATAATGATAAAATAATCTCTGCTGATTTTAGAATATTATTGAGATATAAAATACATATAATACTACCTTACTTAAGGCGAGTAGAATAAAGAAAACAAAAGACTTATTTACATAATTACAAAATATTTTGAGCCGACCAACGGGAAACACCAATAATAGGTTTATAAAGGGAAAGCCGCAATATCTGGCGGTCGACTTAGCAGAGTAGTTTGTTCTAAAAATTATAGTGTTAAAATGAAATACAATTTTTTATATAACACCACTAGACGGGTGACGCGGGCTTCGCCCCGGGATTGACCCGTGTGCATATCTACCCGAGTGATATATATTTAGATAATATTTTTTTAAATAATTGTTTGTTATTAGCACTATCTATTTGTTTACATCAGCATAATTTAATCTAATCTTTGATAGAGGTCGCTGTTCGTGAGCTAAGTAGAATAATTTGAATATATAGTTTTAATAATTGATTTATATATATATATATAAATAGCCTATCGTCTTCCCCGTATTTTTTCACCTATGTATGGAAATTTCGGTTTGAATTAGTGAACTACTGCGAATTTGTATACCGGACATACAAACAAACAAACATACAAACATTGATTTTTTTATATATATAGATATATATATGTAAAGTAATTTAAAATAATAAAAATGGTCACAGGTATTGATATTAAAAACAAAATTTATCAAGGAAATTGGTTGGCCAAATATCAGGGAACAGGTTAAATCAATGTATAGTTGATTTCTGTTCTACCAGATTTCGCTCTGGCATCTAAAAGGTATATCCTGAACGCGCTCACATGAGCATATCGGATGGCAGAGCGCCATCTAATGGAACAAAAATAAACAAACTTGTTCCGTAATATTTGGCCAACCCAATTTCTTGATAAATCAAGAAAAGCCAACCACGAACGCGTTTCGGGATGTTGGCGCTCGTCGGCGTGGTGCAGGCAAAATTTGCCCCCAGAGGTTTTGTGAGAAATCAAGAAATGGGTATTTAAGGCCAAGTTTATATATATAACCACAACTATACGCCGTTTTGAGATATGTACCTGTGATGAATATCAATAGAAAAGTTTATATCTGTTTGAAATTGAAAGTCGCGGGTAACATTTAGGAAGAACGAAGACATGGCTATCTGATGAACATTTTTCTTCTCACTGAGCAAGGCAGACTGTAGTGCAAATATCCGCCGAGAGCTAGGTGTGTTTGTTTCATATAGTGGATATGGTACAGGCTTTTAGGTAGGTAAGTATGCGTGTGTACATAGCGGCACCCTGTTAAGATTTTCACAGGAGGTAAAGGTAGCTATTTTTTAAACGATAAAATAATTTGAGTAAATTATTTAATATAAATTACAAATATCATTATTGGAATTTTGAAAACAAAATATTTGTATCATTTCAAGGTATGTATAAAATATATCCTAATGTTACGTACAAAATTATTCAATCAAAGCATAGTTGTAACTGATTATGAATTGAGAATCTACAGAAAGTTTTAAATAGAATAAAATTTGTTTGTCTCAAGTATATTCGAAAACGGAGTGCTCTTTTTCTTGAAACAAATATTGAGGAAATGTTCCTTTGATAAAAAAGGTTCTATCGGAATTTCCTCATAGACCTAATTCCGAAATTCTACTACGGGAGTATTTCGGTAGAATGAGTAAACATTTAAAGGACACACAGCTGAAACAAATATAACATTCTCTATTAAAGCTGAAACCTTTCTCATTAAGTTCCGTTTATTAACCACTAGCCGAATGACCCGGGTAACGCCCGTGTTTTACCCGATTGAATGTCTTGATTCAAATACTATTTGTTACAATTATAAATTGGCGCCTTAAATAATTGCATATGTTAGTTAATAAATATAGCCTATGTGCTTTATCTGTCTATGTACTGTTGGCTTCCGTAGGCGTCTCTTACTGGGAAAAAGAAAGAGAGGATTCCATTTGGTTATTATCTAATATATGCATTTATTTAGGGAGCGACCCGCTTCAACACAATAGTTACAAAGACGAAATAGCGAGTGGGGGGCAAAGGTGGCGTGACCGTAGCCAACCAATAGGAGGGCGCCATTCCAAAAAAAAAAGCAAACGGTGACAGAGATGAAAACTGATGACTGATTAAGAGATGAAGAATGACGCTCTCGTAACTGTATATAGAATAATCGCGAGCTTTTGAGCTCTCGCTCATTAACGGGCAAGATGGAATATTAAGATTGAGCGTGAGTAGATGAGAGATTTTTATTTATTAATAATATAATTATTTTAATACAAATAAATGAAAAAGTTAAGATTTATCGATAGATAAGCAAAGACTGTTTAATGATTGTTCGCTTTCACGAGTCTTAGTTTCAGATTGTGAATGTTTTATGATCAAGGAAGTACGGCTGAGAAGATACCAATGGGGAGGTAGTTGGGATGTCGGGCGATAGTGGTTGAAAATTCTCAAGTTGAACCTGATAGATTGCTTATATTATATTAAGTATATATATGTGTTAAAGGTTTAATAAAAAACTTCCAATGAATAATTTTAACAATAAGTTTATTTTTATTATAATAGTAGAACATAAACAAGCTTTTGGTTGATAGCTATAGTGTCAACTAGGGGAAGGTTATAGCTTAGCGACACGCTCCCGAGTAACATCTCAATGTGTTCACATGCATCGTATCATCCGGTTTCTGCAGACGCTGGTTGGTTCATTGAGCTCAAGAATAAAATATAGTCTTTCGTGGAGAGGACCTATTTCTCTGATTTTGGTCGGTGGTGGGAGTCGAGAGCCTTGTTGCATTTGTAAGCACGCGCTGGTCCCGTTGGTGCGCCGCACTGGTGTGTTGGAGTACCTGTCGGGTATGATGAGCCATGGCGGGCTAACGCTTAGGACAGCGTGCAGACAGGAGGATGTCTCTCCACACAATGTAGATGCTGGACATTCACAGATGTTCGAAGTGGAGCACAGGGAGTTTTCCCGTTGGAGAGCCATTAAGCCGTTCCCACTGGCCTGCGGATATTGGCGATGTGAAAAGTGAATCAAAGCCTTGTGGTACTAAAAGGGGTTTGAATCCAGTGGTTTACGTCCACTACAAGGCGGATAAAGACTACAGCTTCTCGGTCTTCTGGTTAAATGAGAATCACACATTGTAATGTCAACTAACAACATTTTATTTCACCCGCGTTCCACATTCGCTTTATTCGAACTCTACACGCCAAAAATTTGTAGCACCGGGAATCGAACCCGGGTCTCCTGGGTGAGAGCCAGGTATCCTAGTTTCAACGTCACCCTACAACGGAATATTCAATCTACTTATATCGTTAATTCCCGTCGTAACCATTATCTCCGAGCGGAATTAACTGGAAGCTTATCTCTCCCAGTTCGCTGCCATTCCGTTACCAACTCTACGGCTTTTAACACATGTGTTGGTGTCTGCGCGTGGATCGTTACTGACATGATATCTAGATCCTAAGTGCAACTCCTCAGACCATGCACCTTTCTGAATCAATAATTCTTATTTAAATATGAGGCATTAGCGCGTTTGTGTGTCATTTTTAATATATTAGGTATAAATATTCTTTATGAATATATTAGGAAGATCAATGCTCGAAGAATTTATTCATATATTGGCAGTGAATAATTAATTTAATATCATAAAAATTATATATATGAAAAAAGGAAAAGGAATTTCTTTATCTTCCTTGCGCCATCTATAGGAATAAGCGGAATAATTGGTCGTTGAGGTACGGCTTGCACTACGCTGATGAGGGCCAACAGCCCGAAACGCGTACGTTGTTAGCTTTTCTTTATTAAACAAGAATGGATATTTGGCCAGTTCTGGAATAATGAAAAATCAACGAGAATAGTTGATATTTATTCCGATAGATGGCGCAAGCCATCAGAAACTTTCAGTTGCACGATAAAGAGATACCTTTTTCTTTTTCATAATTGATGCACCTTATCCCAGTACAATATCATATATATTTGTACTATGTATATATATCACTGCTAAAGAAAGTAATCTACCACTAAATTGAACCCACTGCTGCTTCATGCACCTGTTGATAATTATTATTGTGTAGAGTGAACATAGAGGCAATCCGGTTTCGCGAGCGCAAATCGCCAACTACCCAGATATTGTGTTTTAGCTGTGTAACAAGTGTTATCTTATTTCACGTGAAAATTTGCTTATTTAAATTAAACGACTCCTTGTCATTACTACAGTGACAATGTTTTTATATGTATTTCTCTACTCTTCTCAAAGTTTATGTCCATCGTTTGTTTGAAAAACATTTGCCCCACTCTTCAGTCCCGGATATATGAGCAAAACAGGCTAATATAGTATTAGAATGGTATCGTCAATTAATCTGTTAGGAGGGCTCAATACTGATGAGCCAGGCCCTCTCATTATTTGTATCATTGCAGTAATAACAGGGGGAAATAGTTTATTTTATCTATTAATTTTAGAAGAAACGGAGTCGCCCAGTTCATATCTCCAAACGTTGTACCTGCTTCCTGAATCACCTAGAAGCTGCCACACATTCCCGTTAGTGTATTTACCAATAAGAGAACAACCCGGCTAAGCCCGAGATCTTCCAGTGTGAATTATTTCTTATAAAATATTGTATTAAACAAAATATATTTACAAAAAAGGCATATCCTGACCACGTTAACATGAACTTTTAGATGGCAGAGCGCCATCTAATGGTAAAGAAATCAACTAAACATTGATTTAGCTTGTTCCCTGATATTTGGCCAACCCATTTTATTGATCAAGAAAATTAAGCACGAAGGCACTTCGAGCTATTAACCCTCGTTAGCGTGGTGCAGATTGTACCTCTACGATCAAGAATATTTTGGTCCCAGAGGCTTCCTGAGAAATCAAAAATGGGTATTTAAGGCCAAACGTGCGTAAATACGCTAAACATGTGAAAAAATAATAAAAAATAAAATAATATAAAGGTCAGGTGCTTGTTATTAAAATTAAAAAAGGCATATCCTGACCACGTTCACATGAAAAAATATTTTTTTATTTTTTATTCAGCAGTAATAGCAGTTGTGACGCGAGAGAGAAAAATACAAACAAATCATTAATATAATAATACGTAAGATGATAAAGCTTCTCTCTCTTATAATACTTTATGATTACTCTTAATATATAGAAATATCTTTATTTATAGAGCTGCTAATCAGAATGGATGATTTTTGAACCCCGATGGACGCATAAAGCGGAATATATACAAAGCACTATATACATTGCTCTGTTAGAGGAGCCTGGGAATGGGTGGCCAGGAGATCATCGCCGGGTTAGGCCAGGAGAGGGAGCGTTAATATATAGATACTAAAACTTCTTGAATATTATAAATTGATCATATATAAAATCTAATTATCAAAATAATACTAATATAATTGTATGTATTCTTATATTTGAATTGTAATATAGTTCGAAGTATTTCGTATATACACTTGGTTCTTTTTTTATGCGGTAGATGCGTTCCAGGGGAATCCGCATAAAAAAAAATCGCACAAAAAAAGACATACATTTATATGTAAAATGATGGATACGTTCCATTTATTAAAAAAAATCGCATAAAACCTAAATAATGTTTTAAAATGCACCAGAAATCGCATAAAAAAAGATTTATAAATAATAAGATTTAATTTTTTTCTCATCATATTTTAATAAATGGCACATATGTGTGTTAATAACAAAAACAAAACTTAATATGTAAAAAAAAAACATAAACAAAACTTTTATTTAAAATCATATTAAGAATGTTTTCATCATTATTCGCTGTCTGATAATGTGCGAACCCGTTTGTGGATTGGTGCAAGATCACTTTCATCACTTGAAGATAAAATTACGTCATCAGATCTACATGGTAATGCTTCTTTAGGAACTTCAGTGATTTATTTTCTTTGACAAGGTAGTCAGTAATCAAACGCTGTGATGGCTTGACTAGTTCTTTGTAGAGTTCTCTGTAGCCAGACATACAAAATTTCAGATCACGTTGGAATTTTAAGGCGCGTTCTACATCATTATCATTTTGAATAAAAAAAAAATTCCAATTTACCGGAAAGTTGAAGGCCTTCCCGAAGTAATTTTTCGTCCAGTGGAGTAACATCTTCCAGTTCGCTATCTACACTGTTTCGAAATCTTTAGTAGTATCTACCATACTTTCCAAAATATCATCATCATTTAGGGCTTCGTCCACAAGCAATTCTTCTATATCATGCTCGCCAAAATCATCAAAACCTTCCCCACCTATTTCCTTAGCAATTGAAATAATATCTGATGTTACTATTGTTGTTCAATTTGATTCATTTCTCTTTGATACGCATTCAGGCCAAGCAGCTTTCCAACATGCATTTAAAATTTGTGATTTTATCTCGGCAATTGCTAACGCAACATGATCTACACAGTTCAAGATATTAAATTGTTTCCAAACTTCAGTAACTGTTATTGTATCGGATTCCAGTTTATCGAAAATGAATTGGAAAGTGAATTTTACATATTATTTTTTAAATGTTGAAATAATTCCCTGATCTAATGGTTGAATTAGGCTCGTTGTGTTTGGAGGGAAAAAAACTACCTTTATATTTGGATGTTCTAAGTTTGGATGACCTGGTGCATTGTCAAGAATTAATAAGATCTTAAATTCGAGACCCATCTCTTTCATATAATTTTCTACTTCGGGTACGAAGCATTTATTGAACCATTCAGTGAAAATAGCCGTTGTTACCCAGGCCTTCTTGTTTGCCATCCAATGTACGGGCAGTGTATTTAAGTCTTTTCCTTTTAATGCACGTGGTTTTAAAGATCGATTTACAAGCAGCGGTTTTAACATTCGATCGCCAGATGCATTGCTGCACAGCAATAAAGTAACTCGATCTTTAGCAGCTTTAAAACCACTGGCATTTTTTTCGGACTTTGCAATGTAAGTACGGGTTGGCATTTTTTTTCAAAACAATCCTGTTTCTTCAGCATTGAAGATTTGATGGGCACAATATCCTCCATCTTTAATAATTTTAGCCAACTTTTCAGGATATTTTCTAGCAGCTTCTTCATCTGCAGAAGCCACCTCACCTTTTATTTTTAGATTATGAAAAGAATGTCTTTTTATAAAACCAGTTAACCACCCTGTGCTGGCAGAGAATTGTGGATTACTTTCACGTGAAGATGTAGATGGCTCTGATTCTTTTAACTCCTTGTAAAATTTAAGGGCTTTCATCTTGATTAAATGTCCATCTAACGGAATTCTTTTTTGAGTTAAATCTTCAATCCAAATTACGAGAGCCTTTTCTGTTTTTTTTTCTATTAAAGTGCCTCTTGAATATGATGAAATTTTAGAACTCAAATTTGTACCAGATCTGACTGATCTTCTTATTGCCGCATCATTTTTTTTATTGCTCTTATAGTAGATTCGCCTAAATTATAACGTTTACCTATTGCTGTTGATCTTTCTCCTTTCGCCAAGCAATCGAGAATTATAATTTTGGTTTCTAGCGAAATTGCACTTCTTTTTTGTTTTTTATTATTGTCACACATTTTCTTTAAGAGGACTAAAAATTATAGAAAAAATTTAATGTACAATTACGCACTAAAATTATTCAAAAAAACTTACTATTCACTTGAGTAAATTTATCTTCCGGTTTTCGGTAGTAACCTTCTTTCACAAAGTTTTATTTTCTAATGCTTTCCAATATGCAGGCTTTTTCAATTAGTTTCATACAAAAACAAAATGCAGCATAAAAACACGCAATTTTAACGAGGTATTTTTGTTTTTGTCTCTTTTGTTTTTAAGAACAAATCAAGAGAAAACATGTCAATAAAAGAAAAAAGAAATTTGTAACGGCAGCTGGCACGCCGGCGGGTTTTCAGTTTTGATTTCGGTTTTGCACGAGTTGTGTAAGACACCGGCAGGCGCGGAATAAAAGACATTGGAACTTCCCCTCTACTGTTTGTTGGATAACTTAACATACAACCAGGACGTTACAAAATTCTTTCTTTGTATTGATTGCGTAATAGTAGAGTTGTAGTTGATATTCTTATTCGTTTTCAGAAAAAGTGAATCACCAAAAAAAAAATTTTCGAAATTCGAATAAATTTTTTTTTCTTGCACCGCATAACTCCAAAACCGCATAAAAAAAAACCGCATAAAAAGAGAACGAAGTGTATATTGAATATTAATTTTCTTTAATGATTTAAACTTGAATTCATAAGTTAATTAAGAATGATTTTATAGATACACTTAATTCTCTCAAACCGTGATCCTATTTAACACCTAGAATGT